AACGAGAATCAATTGAGGTTTGTGGGAAACCAAAAGGCAAACCATACATTTATAAGGCTGATTCTGCACAATATTTAATTCCAGCTTTTTCTCCTACACCTAACCCAGCTTTACTTTCATACTAGAGATCAATCAAATAAGAGGAGGAAGGAAGGTCGACGGTAACGATGACTGCTTGCCCTCCTCCTCCTCCTTCTCCTCGCCGGGGGGGCGGGCCGTCTGCCTGTCGCCGTCACGCGGTGGCCTTCCAGCAAGAATTTCGCGCGTGAACGGCGTCGTCGGGGGCCGGGGCTCTGCCGCCGTCCCCGGGGGAAACGCCGGGGAGCTGGAGGAGTCTTTGGCGGCTACATCGCGGATGGTCAACCCCCCGTCTCTGCCGCGGCCTCCTACCGGTGCCCACGACGACGGCGAGGGAGACGGTGGCAGAAGCGGAACGCGATCGCGGCGACAATGTCCCGCGGGGCCTCCGAGCGGGGTAGAGGACGACGCGACGGATCTCAACGAGCAGTCGCTGACTTCGGACAGCATCCTGTTTTACCTCTCCGGTCAACAGCAGGAGTCGATGGCGGCCTCCCCGCCGATGTTGGCCGAGGAGGCAACGGGGGGGGAATACGCCAAGAGCGGTCGAACACTTGAGAGCCGTGGTTCGGGAATCGCCACCAATAGGTTAGGGAAGGAGTCGTCCCAGGTGGACGGGCGCGACTACCCGTGGGAGGGCAGGAGCAGTGCGGCAGGTGCCGCGAGGCCATCGACGTTGACGTCGCCTAGGACGGGGGCCTCGGCCCGAGCTGACGGAGGCGGAGGCGGCGGCGGCGGTGGTGACGGGGGTCAGATGTCTCCGTTGACACGCCTGCTGGCAGAGACGCCCGTCCGGCTGCACGCTGCTTCGGGCGTAAGCGCTGCTTCGGGCGTACACGCTCCGGGCGACTTTCGTGTAGAGCGCGGAGTGGGCTCATCAGGTAAGAAACAGGATTTTCTTCAGCCGTTTTTTTGTGATGAACCTCTCTGCGGCTTGTTTGGTAATATCCGCGGCCACCCGTGCTTGTCCGTCGAGTTGTCGGGTATCTCTTATGAAAATCGTTGGACGAGATCGCTAAACCCTGTGGCTCGTTGGCCCTGCGGCGATTATCCTTCTTCCTCTTGTGCCATTTCCTAGTCACCTCCCGTCTCTCCTCTCTGTGAGTATTTGTCGCGGGCATCGACTCGCGCTGCCGTCCCGCATTGGGGGGGTACCAACAACGCAGTCCGGCCTTTGGGTCGTACATGAATACGGGCAGATAGCACATCACCCGTCAGTGAACAAAACCGACCCGCTCACCGTTCCCCTTCCTCGCAAAAAACAGCACGATTGCCCTTCAGGTCCGATCCTCAAGCGTACCGACTCGCGACGGGTGGGAACAACACCGACGGCGGCCGGACGAAACAGCAAGAGGCAGACTCTCTGTCCGGCGAAGCCTCGTGGCTCAGCCGGGCGGCCGGCGGTAACGACGGCGACGGCGCCGCCGCCGCCGCCGCCGCCGGGGTAGGGAGGCGAACGCGGGCTCTCTGGGGGCGTCCAGCCTCCGGGGGCACCGCCGGTTCCGGGGGCTCCGCAGAAAGGGCAGAGGGCGTAGAAACCGTTGCCGAGGCTCTGTCGCGAAGGGGGATCGGGATGCCCTGGGAAGAGCTGTCGTTGTCGGAGGCGCGGGCGGCGAGTCCGTTGCATTCGTAGACAGACGTTAGCGGCAAGCGCGCGCACGCGGGGGGGGGGAGGTACTGATGTTTTGCAAGGCGCGCGAGGGGGGGGGGAGGGGTATACATGCTTATTTTTGGCCTCTCTGTGCTTCCTGGAAGCACGGAGGTAGCGAGCGATGCGAGTTGGTGTTCCTTTTTTTTGTTGCTGTTGCCATTTTAGAACCGTAGAGCACGCGGCGGCTTCTAGTTGGCTCTTGTTGTATCCCGGGATATCTTCGGTCGTCCCTGTCCACCTTTTTACTGCGGTAGCGCTGATACATACGAGGAACGGGATGATGTACGAGGGTAGGAGATAGATCGATGAAGGCTTTCGTAGTTGCGACGGCATTCGCGCGATGCTCCAGCGGTCCTCACGCGGTCTGTCTCGCAGCTGGGTGTCAGCCTGTACCTGATGTGTGTTCAAGCTTTCTTTCCTGCTGCTTGCATTTGTGTTCAATCACCCGCCACGGAATAGTTGGTAATCGTGTGCTTGTGTGCCCGTTTGTTACAAGAGAAGTGTGTTTTTGGTTCACGTTCCACCTTTCTTCGAAAGGCCATCAATATCAATGTTGCCGGGCAAATGTCGAAAATAAATTTATAATCCGTTGTCTCGCGACCAAAAGCGGTCGTGTTTCTGGTGTCAGCCTCCACTCTCAGCTCGCGGAGGCAGCTTATCTCGTCCTCGCCGACAAATACGTTTTTTTTCTTCTAAAATTATGGGTTTTTTTTCTTTTTTGTATCCTCGTTCCAGTGTAGTATCGGTCGGAGCTGGCAGAGTTCGCTCTTCAGTTGTGTCATCGGGGATCGATGTGCATGGACAGAGGAAGGAGTACGTACGTGTGGACGGAAACAGAGTTACCTCACGGAGCCCCGCCCGCGGCTGAGACTCTTGTGAAACGGAATCGTTTTTTGTGTACAGGTTGGGTGAGCGTTGGATCGATCGATGATGATGTGCATGGAGAGAGACGAAGGAGCGACACGTCATGATCGCGGTGTTGGGTGGACGGTGAGGGAGCTTTTCCCCTGCGGAGCCTCACCATGAGACTCGGGAAACTCTTGTAGGAACGAGATCATTCTTGTGTAGATTGGGTGCTGAACTCGAATCGGTGATGAGAAGCTCTCGGTAGTTCGACTGCAAGCACACTGACTGGTGGAATGTTGTGGAGATAGATGGCGAACGGTGTTTGCCCCTTTTGTATGGGGTGGCGACATGGTGCTTTTCCTGGGCGCAACTCAGCTATTGTAGTAAGAAGCAGGAAGGATTGTTGAAATGATGTTACTACGGTAGCATGAATGTTATAGTCGGTACGCCAGTAGATGATAAGCATAACGTGATTCTCTTTGTTCTCCCTCTCTCCCCTTGACGGGAGATTGCACACCGTGGAGGTGGCGAGTTACCTGATACCATGTGCTGTCTCGTTTTCTTTTTATATTATTGTGGTGTAAAGTTTTGCATGCACGCCATAGTAAGGCGGCATTGGTGCACGTACGGGGCGGTTGATTCCTGAGCTTAGCTTGTTCCCGTCAAAAGTGCCTTCCGAACGTGAAGAGCCGAGGGTTTGTTTACAGCTGTCATTTCTAGGGACGGCGTGACACTGGCTTTGTAGCGATGTAGGCGTTGATGTTTTGGGCGGTTTCAACGATACAATGAAGAGGACAGCACGTTTTTCTGTACCCGGAGCGGCATCAAGCAAGCAAGGTGGTTGTTTCGCCGTTCGCCACACTGCGAGGTGGGTAGGTGGTGGTGGAAATACCTTGCGTCTGGCGTTGAAGGACGTTCACGGTGCCAGGTATAGCACGGCTTGAGTGACAGTGCAAGAAACGGGGGGTGTTCAGCGTGGTGACACGCAAGTATACACATACATTTCTTTTCCCCGCCTTGCTCTTCAGCACTTCGTGCAAGAGCCGGCCGCCACCCCGGTGTCCCGAGCATACCCCTCGAAAACCGTTAACACGAATCTGCTGCTGTCGCTAGGGTGTTGGGGAATTTGATTCGAACCGATTGGTGGGGTTTCCCACAGTCGCTTGTTCATGAGGGTACTCGAGGGGAGGTGGGGACGGCTGAAGGACCCTTTCTCGCGCGATAAAGTTCAAGACAAGCACCTCAAGAAGAATTATCGTGTGCGTGACACAACATGCGAGCTCCTCGGGTAGAAACGCAAGGGGCCATCGGGTAGTCAGAAACTGCGAAAAACGGTGAACACACGGATGGATGGACCGGCGTCAAACAGAGAAAAATATAATTTTCTCGCCGGTGCATTCCGCCCCCCCCCGAAAGAAAGCTTTCAGCGATGATGCCGCGAGACGTGCCGCTATTGCTATGTTTTGTGGGAGAATGTCCACGAGGTAGGCATGGAATAAATGGGCACCGTGCCGTAGCAGGAGGTAGACAGCGTGGCGAATCTGCTGCCGGGTCCTCCTGGACGCTCAGAGACGGCCACTTCGGGAGGATCACGGTAGACAACGTGCCCCACAGCCGCGTCCGAAGAAAAAACCCGGCGGAATTGTCCTCCCGCGCCAACCGGGGGTGGGCGCAGCCGTAGCTCTCCCGGCGCGTTTCGCCACTATTTCTGCTTGTCGTGGTGGCCGACACGTTCGTTGACGACATGTTGTACGTTGTCCTCTTTCCGTTGCTGGAAGCCTCTGTTCCCGTTCCCGTGTCTCCTCCACGCCACACAGCCAGGCAAGCTCTCAAGAAGCACATCGCACATGGTACACCTGGTATACGTACGCCAATACAACATCCGCCTCTCGTAGACTAGACTACGACTGTATCGTTAAGTTTCCAACCGATCACAAACACCTTTTTCTATTTTCTGGTATTTTTCACCTTCTTTTGCATACACACTGGAAAAAAACGTCGTCCACCCCCACCCATACCCTGTCGCGAAAACGCCAATGGACCCAGTGTATTTGCCAATCAGGTTTTGGGAGGAGTAAGGTGAAACGTCGCACGGCAAGAGGAGCTCGGGATCATCACTCTCGTTCGACATGCATTATGCCGCTATCTCTGCAGTCCGCCACCACACACACCCTTATCCCCAAACGGCGCGCGTATACAGCAAATACGAGTAAATATAGCAGGGACGACACCCACCCCAACACATGTACCACCGCGCACCCCGAAATCGCCAGATGCCTCGACAGGGAACCTGCAGCAGTAGCACTGGTTGTGTCCGCCAACGCACACACCGTCACACGGCGAATCAGGTTCAGCTCGCTGCGGGTCTGATATCGTCGTGGAGACAACACCACCACCCCGCAAAACCGAAACCTAAGGTTAAGGTTGTCATCTCCGCCGAATCTTCTCCACCGCACACCGCCACCTCCTCGCCCACCAAGCAACCTGTACCCGCGTGCAGAGGAAGGCATCGCACACCCTCACGTTGACAGGGTCTCATCCATCGTCTCAGTTCCCTCTCCCCTCCCCCCCCCCCCCCCCCCCTCTCCCCCCCCCCGGGCTGGTGTTGGTGCTGCCCCCCCCCCCCCCCCCCCCGGTCCCAAGAAACGGCGTCGCGGGCTGAGCCACCGGTACCGGCACCATTGCAGAGCAGCTGCTCAGGCCCTCGCCGGTGGCACCTACGCCTACGCCTACACCTACGTTCTCGGCGGAGAAGAACACCGGGGCGGTCGGGGCGCCTTCTCCCGCCGCCGCCGCCGCCGTCGACGACATTGCCGCTGCGCGAGTAGCTTCGGCCAACACTCTCGCCTCGCCGGGGTCGCTACTCCGACGCTCAGAGGAGGCGGCCTTTGTAGCGTTGTCAGGGACGGCAGCAGCAGAGTAGACCGCGGCGCCGGCTAAACTCACCCCCGCTGGGGCGGGAGCCGGAACCGGCTCACTCTTTGGCCGAGCGAAAGGACCGGTGGCCGTCGATGATTCCCCCGACACGGCTGCTGCTGCTGCTGCTGCTGCTGCTGCTGCAGGGTGCGGATCTGGGGCAACCGCGGCACGAGCCGTCTCCGGCTCGCTAGACGGCGGCGTCACCGCCGCCGCTGCTGCATTCGTGACCGGTTTTTTCACTAGCGGGGCCGTGCCACCAGAACAAAGCGGCGCCCCTGCTGTTGTTGTCTGTAGCTCTGCTGCCGCCGCCTCCGTCGCCGCCGCCGCAGCGCTTACCAAGAGCTTGTCCTCGGATAGCTCTTGCTTCACGTCGCTCGACAGAGGCAACTGCATCTCACAGGGCACCCCCCCCCCCCCCCCCCCCCCCCCC